TGTATGCCCTTTTCACATGTTGTTCTTGATTTGACAATATTATAGTCAGGGTGACATTGAGCCAAAAATGAAAAATGTTTATTGATGCAAATATCTTTAATATACAGAAAATTATGGTGTATAGAAGCCATGTTTCTTCAACTCCTGGAGTATAGTGTATAAAACATTAACGTGTTGTTTTATTTAAATAGTGTTGTGATGTTAAACGTTAAATACTATGAAAAAAAATGTTGTCAAAAAATAACACACTTGTACGTGCATAGACGTGGGTGACACAGTCATTATTTCAGGATATTTAAACCAGTGACTATTGCGATTGGGCCATTATTTGTATAATTTTAATAAAATTAGATTTTAATTTGAATCAACCATCTCTATGACAGTCGTAAATATATTATTGATGAATATATTCATATGCTTCAAACTGATTTCTTTGCTAAAATGTGACTATAATAAGGTAGGAAACGTTTTTTTTTTACCCAATGTTACCTCCACTGACGGTATATAAAACATGGTTCAGTTAGAATCTAGACGCAGAATTTATTTTATGGCAGCGCCCTTAGTGGCTGGTTTAGGAATGTTTTTATCGTATCCAAAAATATCGTTGAGCTCAGAAAACGGGATCTGCATTGTTCAGCTCGAATTGTGTTCTCTTCCAGACTAGTCATTCAGAATCCTATATTTGTGTGCTGCATTTTTCGAGTTTACAGACTTAAGGTGAAAGTTGATATAATCCACGAATGGCCGCTATTATGGTTATTTGGCCATGCCACTTTAAATTTTGGATGGCTCTAATCTCAGAAACTATAAAGATTTCGTGCAGTCCTCCTTAGTAAAACATTAACATGTTCTGTTTTCTGTTCTGCATGTTTACGTTTTTTTAACTTTTGTTTAGAGATTTTTAGCCGTAGGCTTGCATGTTTACGTGAAATTTTTAGATATTTCCGTAAGAAACGTAAGAAAATTTCTAATAAATACGTAGTGGCTTAGTGGCATTTTACGATCTTGGACTTAGAGATTAATCGTCTCCAGTTCACTGGTGATTGATGATTATCATTTTTGTATCACAGTTTGTTCTATTTCTGATGAAATTTTAACCATACCAACAGTAGGAAATATCCAATTTAAGAAAAGTTCCACCAGTTGAACTCTCTTTTCGTGGCACTCACAAGATTTCAGAATGATAGGTTACGCCACCACACATGAAGCACAACATTTAGAAATTAATTAGGAAACAGAATTTGATATTCTTAGGAGATTTTTTCTTCTTATAAACATGAGCAGCTCTTTCGAATTTAACTATTCTTGTTAGTTTTGACACTGCGAGTGGAATTGTAAAATATGAAAATGATGTATCCAAAGTATGTAGAGAATCAAAAATTAGACCTGTGCGCCGATCCCAGTTTTGCCGGAGGCGGCGTGATGTTATTTTCCGTCAGCGGCGGCGGCGTGGTGGCGTTACGCCGTTTGCATTTGGTGGTGGCGGCATGGACCGGCATGGACTGGACTGAGATTTTTTTTCAATTCAGCCAAAATTGTTAGTATTGTAGAAGTTCAGCATGCTATTCAGAACGGCAGTGTGATTTAGGAACTTGCTGGAAGTTTTGGGAAATTTTTACCCAGATCTTAATAAAAATCGTAGAAAAGGATCAAGGTCACTCTTGAAGTTTGGAGGTGATCTAATATCTTGATAGAATTGAGAGAAACTGTAAAAAAAATGGAACTTGTAGAAGATAAGAAAATTTTCAGGAAGTTTAGTTAAGGAAGCTTTGTAGACATTCAAGGATCATTAGAGCCATTTTTCAGCACTCGTGATTATTTTTTTGATGGCAGATGACACCTTCGCTTAATTGTATTGTATAGTCAACTCTATTTTTCATTCGATTTGTTTTCCGTCGATCTTGTTTTCCGTACTGAGTACCAATGCTATCGACGCCAGGTAGGTAGCTCTCACATCTGGGCCCTGCCTATCTACCCATTAACTCATAGGGACCAACGGCTTTACTTCCCTTCCCCCTGATCAGAAATGGTATGCCTCAGAAAATCCCGACGGCACCGTCTGGGATTAAACCCAGGCCTTTTATAGCGATAGACAGTCACGCTTTAGGAGTACACCATCGGCGCCGCAATGTTCATTCGGTTCTGCCTAGTAATGTAAACTATAAAAAAATGGCAATAAATATTACCGACGAGGCAAAATTTTGACTGATCACCGGCGGCGGCAGCGTGGCGCGGTGGCGCACAAGTTTATAGAAAATTATATTATTTTAGGAGATTTTTTCTTGAGCAGTTCTTTGGAGTTTTATTGTTCTCGTTTTTTTTTGAACCGACATAAAATTTGGAAACGTTTGAATGTATTTATAAAATATGATGGATTAGAGATTAGTAATTATATTGTGCAAATCACACCAATCACATTATTTAAAAGTGTGATGTGCATGTCTTCGTGTAATCGTTTAAGTGACTTGGGTGCACTTATTCCTTATGATGCAAACAACAATTGCTCTAAGGATCTCAAGACAATTTGACATACATGTGCACTTTTATCACACTTTTTTTTTCATTTTTAGAGCAAACCAATTTTCGATGCAACCTCATAGGGTATAGTGCGGCAACATGGACCATGGGTCAGATAGGTCATCTACTTGATTTAATTATATTTTTGTTTGTCAACATCAACGAGCTCAATGTAGCCCCAATGCTGGTTTGAAAAAGCAAACCATCATTAGCGTTGCATTGAACCTATTGATATTGACAAACAAATAAATTATTGCACTAGCTAACCCATCTTGCCCCGTGACCCATCTTGTCCCATATTACCCCATAATTGTAGATTTTTTTATATTTTTGAATATCAATTTCTCAACAATGACAACATGCAAACTAATTACCTAGCTGTTATAGCTATTCCAGGAGCCTGTAGCATAAAGCATTTTACAAGAACTTGTAACTTGCAAATCAAAGTATATCAAATGGGAATTACAAGCTACAAAGTCCTTGTAATTTTGGTCTTTTACCCCACCCATGTGGAATAGCTAGTTTGCGTGGGTGTGCTGTGAGTCGTGAGAAATGGACGCCTAGAGAAATTGTTTAAGCTTCGAGATAGGCCCAGGTTGCTACTGAATTGTTCACTAATCCATGCTTATGTGATGGAATTAGGTTCATTTGAGCCTCACCTCATTTTTCGTATTCTCGCGTTTAATTATGTATTTATTAGATATTTTTTATAAATCTTAATCAAAATAAATCGCTTTAAACCTAAAAAGTATAAATTTGCAGAGACGAACCAGCCAATGGCTAAAAGGCTCTTTAATAAAGAAACCTAACCTAACCTAAACAGCCGAAAACGAACCATTTCAATTTAGGCTTGAAATGTGTTCGGGCTATCATATAATGGGTATTTAGTAAAGGTTTGATGATAATATTTCTACGACTATATATCACATCAGTTAGCTTCCCTAATTGTATTCGGACTAAAAAATCTTCTTGTGAAGGTCTTATACAAAAATATTTACTCTGGAAAAATGTTCTTGTTCGCTACAGTTCGTTGTAAGTACTATCATTACATTTCTCGTAAGACAAGCAGCGCCGGTGGTGTAGTGGTAAGCGTGATTGCCTCTCACCCTGGGTTCAATCCCAGTCGGCGCCGCCGGGATTTTTTGAGCCATAAAATCTCTGATCGCACCCTTTCTTCGGAAAGGAAGTAAAGCCGTTGGTCCCCGGTCCATGAGTTGATGGGTCGATAGGTAGGGTCCAGTTTTGGGAGCTGCCTCCCTGGCGTCAGTAGCATTGGTACTCAGTACGGAAAACAAGGTCGACGAAAAACAAATCAAGGAAAAAAAAGTTGATTGCTGAATCTCGCGAATTTTTGCCGAGATTTGTACAGCCAATCTCTCGAAAATATTTATTGCCGAGATCTCAGCAAAACTAACGTTTGGTTGCTGAGTCTTGGAAAATGTTTCACTAAGGCTCTGAACCATTTGGTGGATTATTTTAACTTTTGGTTAAAATTTGACAGATGGAAAGTTATCGATTAACCCTGCTATCCGAGCGTGATAACTTCTGATAGACAAGAAGTTAAAGTTTGACAACCTTGGCTAAGTTCTTCTCGAAAACCGGTCGATCGACAGCACAGGGATTTTCGAACATAGAAAATAAATTTCGAAATGTCACTTTTAACTAAGAGTTGAATTTAATTCGGCAAATGGTTCACAGCCTAAATCTCAGCAAACAAACGCAATGTTTGCTGAGATCTCAGTAAAATAAGTTGCCGAGCACTTGGCTGTGCTAATCTCGGCAAAATATTGCCGAGATGGGGAAAACGAAATTAAGTGTGTAATAAATCCATATTTTCCTTTTTTTTTCATTGTTTTGTTTTCCGGTGATCTTTTTTTCCGTGCTGAGCACCAATGCTATCGACGCCAGGAAGGCAGCTCCCACACCTGGACCCTACCTATAGACCCATAAACTCATGAACCGGGGACCAACGGCTTTACTTACCTTCCGAAGGAAGGTGTGATCAGAGATGTTATGCCTCAGAACATCCCGGCGGCGCCAACTGGGATTGAACCCAGGCCTGCTGGGGTGAGAGGTAATCACGCTTACCACTACACCACCGGCACCACTATGTGTTTACATTTGATGTACATGTTATTTGTTTTGCGTGGTACTTAGCTGAAACATCGATTTGTTTGAACGTCAATGTTATTAAAGATCTGTTAAGAATAAATATTGGAATATTTATACACCATTCGCCTTTCTGATCAATTACCTGCACACACTTGGGCCGTGTAAGAAATTAAAATAAACACTCAAACTAACATTTGATTTTCTCAAGGAATACTCCTTCAACGCTATGGGATCATTGACATATCATATCTTGATGTTCTTATTCTCTTGGCAACTTTGTTCTCTTTTAACCGATAAGTAATAAAGTATAATTAGATGAGCTTCGTATCTGTACATGCTAATATACAACCACAAAGGAGACGAAAACATACCTCCAAGTAGACTTCATTTGATGGTCGAAAAGTATTGTTAATCCGGTGAAAAGTAATGTTGTAATGAGGTAATGCATGTAGAAGCTTGGCGATCAGCGGCACCTTGTATTGATCGTCATCTTCGGGATATCCCATTATAGGTGGAGTGGAGCCCTGCATGGCACTAGTGGAACCGCACACGCACACACACTAAATAACACTCGGCTCCTTGCCGCTGATGGATGATTCAACTTTGCACACTCCGATTATCCTGTGTTTAATAATGCAAACTGGGCTCTTGAGGTATAACACTTTTGCCTTAATACTTCACATTTTTATCTCTCCTGCAGTAGGAGATTCCAATCGGCCAAAATCTCCGTTCTTCCAACAATCATCAATACTTTTGCTATAAAGGGGAAAGTAAAGAACAAGGACGTCACGGCCAGGATCAGGGCCAGGACGTGTGGTGACGAAGAGGAAAAAGTCTCATTCGCCTGGGAAGAGCGCCCACTCGATTTAAATCATCTTTCACTTGATTTTTTCGTCGCGTTGTATGCTTCAAACTCGGTTAATGGCCCTTCCAGCACTAATTAAGTCCGTACTCCATGTTTCTAACACTTGGTGCACGATTACATACTTTTTGTGCTATTAATTAGGACGCTGTAAGTGGGCTGGAAGGCTAAATTTTCCACTTTTTCTTTCACAAAAATGAAGAGGAAAACATATTTGCTGCTCTCGGTCACACCCTTGTTTTCGTTCTTGATCCTGGCAGCATACTACGGAGCATATCGAAGCGAATGAAAAGAGCAGCATAAAGAACAGCCATGAGCGGGAACGAGAGATGTCCTCTATGCTGAGCATGAAGAGTAAAAGATTGTCTGCGTTCTCTCGCTACTATGATTCTATGCTCACTTTCTTCAGTGGGTCATACGAACTGCATCTGTGTTCCTTGTGTCAAATGTCATCCTGTGTGCTCTCTACTGTTTCACTGGTGTTTATGTTAGTCACACCGCTCACTTCTCACTTATCGTAGCATACAACGTCGAGACAACCTTATTCAAATATACCTCCATAGTTATGCTATCATATAAACTTACGGTCGTTTGCCCTATAGTTGATTCAAACGTATGAACGCCATTTGCATGGATATGTACTGGAAACTTTGGGAAAGTTGGATTTTCACTTTACAGATTTTTAAGCAGTTTTATTATTTTCAGAGAGAGAAAGAACTTCAGAGCAGTTTTAATAATTAAGTATTGGAAGTTGCGAGAAATTTCAGGAAATTTTCGGGGTCTTCAGAGACGTTATTAATATCAGGAAAATTGTTGGAACGTTAGAGAAGCTCCGATAAATTATTGAAAATTCTTGAAACCGTCTATTCTAGAGAAGTTCCGATTAATTATTGAAAATTCTTGAAACCAGTATAGAAAACTTCATGCAATTTGCGGGAAGGATTGATCAAAGAACTTAAAGGAGTGCAATTAACTTCAGAAAAACTACGGGAGCTTTTAAAAAGTTTTGAGTAATTCAGGGAACTCTAGAGAACTTTATTGAAATTCAGAGTTCGTTAGGGTACTTCAGGTTTTCGGGTTAGTTTAAACACATCGAAGCTTAATTAGGGTTTTTAATGTTATTTCCGTCCTACTAAGCACAACCCGCACTTCACCTCTCTTTTCTGAACGTGTTTGAGCGAAATATGGAATATTTCTGTTAAAGATGACTTCTAAATTTATTCACCTTTCATACGTACCGTTGGATTTGATAAAGAGTCACAAATTGTTGAGATATTGTTTAAAATCTAATACTGCTTCTTGATTCTAAATTCGTTCTACGAGTTTCAATTCCGTCCTAACGCATTGAAACACCATTAGATTCACCGTCCTACGGATAAACTGAGAAAAAGGGGTTTCGCCAGGAGCGCTTCTTTTGTTTTGAGAACAATGAGCGTAAATATTCATACAATGCGGATTAACAGGATTTATTTTGTAGCAAATGAACTAACGCATCGGAACAAACCTTTTATTGATTTCTGCACGGTGAAATCATTTATATTATTGATCTTTTCTGATCGATAGAACGGAAATGGGCGATTACGACGAAGTAGCGCTCTACCCTATTTTGTTTCGGTTTTCAGTCTTCAAGAAAAAGTCTTGAATACAGATTTTGCATAGATGTTCAGGAATACAAGGTTTTAAAAACTATGGATAGTTTATGACAAAATTTACTCACTAGACTATGACGAAAGTCATTAAGTTGCGCCTTCTTAAATACACATTATATAACGCTATCTACAAATCCTTCTCATATGAATGGTTCCCGTCTTCAGCAATGTTTTTCGGAAGGACAAGACCTATCCTAAGATAAAGAGTTTAGTTTGAAATTCACTCACCAGGCAGGGCGTGTGACGTTCATTTTGAATTGTTTACCCTAATTTAACATCTTGACTAGGTAGAGGGCTACCATCTTGGAAAAAGTTTCTCAGATGAACAAGGGTAATAAATTTAGCTCAGAATTAATTCATAAATAAAACATTCAATATGATAAGTTATCACGTAGAACGATAGAGTCCTCACAGCCTGAGTGGTACGGACTCAATCAGGTTCAATTTTCGTGATCAATTTAAAATTTCTTACCTTTGTTTACATCCTCTCTCACCGTTCGCGCCTTTTTTCAGATCAAAAATAAAAACTTGCTCGTGAATCGAGCATTATTTGTTTACATTTGTTTGATCGAGATAATATTTTGTAAAAACCGGAACCAGTTTTAAAATGGACTGATTAACCACTAACGAGACCGTTAGAAAATAAATTAAAACAGTCGAATATGCTTGTATCGCTTCCCCTCAGATCCGTTTAATTTGATGTTTTACACACTTAGAAAAAATCATATAAATTTAAGTGCTCTGAGAGTGACATATACGAGCGTCAATTTTGACATAAATTTGAGTCATAACAGACGCGAAATATAGTCCAATCAAACGTTCTTTTCGTCGAGTAACGAACTTTTCAGTCTCTGAGCACTTAATTTTACATGACATATTTGTTTACGTCTCATCGTTTATGTCAAAGATGATTCCGTCACGTGTAAAATTAGTTATTTCTAAGTGTGTAGGTTTATTAGCTGAGGATGTTTACTAGCATTGATGTATGTTGCAACATTGTTGACATAGGAATACGTCTTTAATTTCTATACTGGGGGTCACATTAAAAAAAAAATCCAAATTCAGACATGTAACGAAAAATCCCAAACACGGACGTAACGATAGAGCGCAAATCGAACACACGACACATTGCGCATGCTCACATGAGCGAGCTCACCGCTCGGTTGACCGCTCACTATTTCACAAATGAGTGGAAGGGAGGAGAAAAGCAGCGGTAATAAAAACGCTTGCCAAATCGTTTTCTTCGTCAATTAATTTGAGCAACGGACGGATAAGCGTCGGACACGACGTATGAGTGGAACAGCACGCATTGCACCAATAAGAATACGACGACGAATGCACGGACGGGAAAGGCTTCCCGCAATAGGCAGCATGACTGGGCCACCATCATCCATTCGGCATCGACTTGCACTTGTGTGAAAGAGTCAAGTAGTGCTAGTTGTTCTTTCACAACAATCCTCAAAATGCAATGCTGGTCGAAACACTTTTGACTTAAATGATCTATATTTCTTGAATTTCTGTGGTTTACATGTATAACTTATCAAGTGACACAGATGCGTCTTTTCAACTTTAGTTCCTGTGAAATTTCAATTATTATTAATTACAGTTCCTAGTCCTATCAGGCCTGTTTTAGAGAATGACCACCTTGGTGGGATTGGTTTGTTTGAAAATTTGAAAAAGGAGACTACTTATAACTACTATTTACAACTACAACTAACCTACAACTACTATGTACACCTAACCTACTATATACAAATTGCTTATCAAAGCATGTTCTGATAAATTACATTTTTGTGCAAATTTAATCTTAATTTCGTTAATTTTGGAATCTATTTTGGCAATGCCTGCCTCTTCATGTAAATTTGTTATTCTAGTGTCGAAAGGACGATCAAGAACCATCCTCAGCACTCTATTCTGAGCGACCTGGATTTTGTTCCTGTGAGTCTGTGCACATGATTCCCACACCGGAGCTGCGTAGAGGATCGCAGGTGCTATGATTTGTTTGTAGACGGCCAGTTTGTTCATCCTTGAGAGGCGGGATCTGCGGCAAATCAGCGGAAACAGACACCTAACCAAGGTAGAACACTTGACTACAGTTTTCTCTACATGCGAACGGAAGAGGAGCTTTTCATCGAACAACATCCCGAGATAGGTAACTTCGGTAGACCACTCAACCCTTGTGCCATCCATGATTACAGTACAAGATGGAGCCGGTTTTAGTTTGGGCGATTGCCGATGGAGGAACATGATCGCTTGTGTTTTGGAGGGATTGATTTTAATTTTCCACGTGGTGGCATAATCAGCAAAGGCGTTAAGGCATCGTTGAAGTTTGTTCGTTATTTCGCGAGGCATCCTTCCTTTGACGGCTATTGCGGTATCATCTGCGAACAGGAAAAACACGCAACCGTCACCGAGGGGAGGAATGTCGGAAGTGTAAATGCTGTAAAGCAAGGGGCCCAGCAGACTACCTTGCGGGACTCCTGCTGGGATCGAAAACGTGTCTGAGAGACAACCATTCAACGATACCTTAAACGACCTTTGCTGGAGGTAGTTACGGGTGATTTTAATAAGATGTAAAGGAAAGTTGAAGTTACAAAGCTTGTACACAAGTCCATCATGCCAAACATTGTCAAACGCCTTTTCAACGTCTAACAAGGCCATGGCTGTGGACTTGGATACAGCTTTGTTACTTCGGATGTTATTCATCACCCGTACTTGCTGATGATTGGTGGAGTGCCCCTTTCTGAATCCAAACTGTTCCGGAAGGAGAATGTTGCTTTCCTCGACAAACTTGAGCAAACGATTGAGAATGAGTTTCTCGAACAATTTGCTCAGCGCTGAAAGGAGGCTGATAGGTCTGTAGCTTGAAGACAATGTTGGATCCTTACCGGGTTTGCGGATCGGTATGATTTTTGCTACTTTCCAGATGCTTGGAAAGTAGTGTAGTTCCAAACATCTGTTGAAGATAGCGGTTAGAAGAGACTGCACTTTCATGCTGAGTCTCTTCAAGATCAAGTTGAATATACCGTCAAACCCGGGAGCCTTCATGTTCTTGGTGCATTTCAGCGCTGAGCAAATTTGTTGTACTGTAATCATATCCGCCGGAGGCACGACACAAGGGGAGGTATCTAGGTTTTGAACGCATTGCGCAACCTGATCATCGAGCGGACTTTGGATAGTCGAGCCAAGCAAATGCGATGAAGCGACATGCTTGCCGATCGCATTTGCTTTCTCCTGTGGGGTAATTAAAAGCCGATCGTCATCATTTTCGACTTTGAGAGGTGGAACGGGTTTGGGATGATTTTTCAGGACCTTGGCTACCTTCCAGAATGGTCTGGAGCGGTCATCCAGATTCTGGACAACACGCCCGAAACTTTCATTTCGGAGTGAGTCCATTCTGGAAGCAATCTGCCTATTCAGATCGGCCATTTCACGTTTTTTGCCCAGATCTCCAGTCCTCTGAAACTGGCGTCTACGAACATTTCTCAACCGAATCAGTAATTGGGTGTGGGAATCAATAGCAACAAACTTACCCCTCACAGGGACTTGTCGAACGTATGCCTCGTCAGCCATGGATATGGCCTGTTGGAGCCCTTCCAACG